ACTAATTTCTTCTTTATCGGAAACTAATTGTTTTGATTTTATGTTCGAAACGACTCCATGGCTTTCAGATTCAATGACTATATTTGGGTCGATCAATAAATACTCAAAAGTATCTTCGCTTGACTTAACACTGGATTCCTCTTCAATTAATATAATATTTTCTTCTTTATCGGCAACAGATTGTTCAAGAAGCATGATTGTTTTAATTTTCGATACGACTTCATGCATGTTTAGACGCATATCTGATTCATATTTCCAACATTCTGGTTTGATAAATAAAAGTTAGGATTAATTTTATAATAAACAAAAATGTTAATTTAATTTACCTTGATATATATTGATATATTCAATAGGAGTTCCGACAATAATTTCTTCTCTTTTTCCTCTTACTATACCAAAGGCTAAATTTATATCATAATCAAGGTCATGAAATGGTCGACGTCCACTTGAAATTTGCCACATCAATACTCCAACACTATAAACGTCAGACTTTTTATTTAATATGTAATTTAGATATTTTAAACCTTTTGGATCTATTTAAGGTATTACACCATATAATTTTGATATATTGCTTGAATATTCGGAAATATTTTTTGATAAACCAAAATCTGCTAATTTAATAGTTTTTTGATTTACAAGTATATTTTTTGCATGCTGTAAAAAAAAATTTCAATTATTAAGAAAATATAATAAATAAAATAAAAAACGATTATTAAAGTGATTATTACCAAATCACGATGAACAATGTTAAAATCATGCATATATTCTACAGCACTCGCCAGTTGGTAAGCTAGCTGAAATTTTTCGTCCCAACCAAGATCAGAAAAATTCTTGTTTAAATATTCATTTAATGTGCCACCGTCAGCGTATTCCAAAACTAAATAATTTTTATTTGCACCTGCACCTGTTGTATAAAAAAAAAATTTTAATGAATTATAGAAAATTTATATTATAATTTTCAAATAATTACCAGTTTTTTCATTTATTAAGCCATTAAATCGTATAATATTTTTATTCGCGTTAACCTTAATTTGTAATTTTATCTGTAAAAATCAAATATAATTGAATGTTAGATTTTACTGATAAATATTTTTAACAATTACAACAATTTTACCTCATTTACAACTTTTTTAATAGATATATTATCTTCTTTAAAGGATTTCAAAGCGAACAAACAATCGGAATCTTTCCAATTTGCAAGATAGACACTTCCAGATGCTCCATCTCCTATCAATTTTAAATTTCTGAAGTCCGAATATTCGTAATGATTAAAATATTTTTTTGATTCTTCTAACCACACAATCGATTCTTCAATATCCGACATGTTTTTTTTTGATAATTTTTTTTTTTTTAAAAAAAAAAAAAAGGTTGGAATAAAATTGTCAATAAGATATAGACAACAAAATTCTCATATTTGTCACTGATCGCCAAAACCTCTTTTGGAGTTACGGAGTTTACTCGAGCTTTTTTTAAAATTGTTCCTGATCGACAAAATTTTTGGGTTCCATGACCTTATTATATACCGTATCAAGATATTTACCGCAGCCGTGATCGGAAGATTGAGTTATTATATTTCCCGATTACTAACGCCCAAATGTTATTGAGGCGTAAAAATACTAAAATACTTTTTTTTTTTTACATCATAATAGGGACAGGTAATGATAAAGAGTATTTTTAAAAGAGATATATATATTAAACGAGTAACTGTTGTATTTGCAATAAGCAATATGATTGGTGGAATTTGCTGAGCAAATTCCACTTGATCATATTCTTATTGTAAATACATGTAAGGCACGGCAGTGCCGCAGTTACGAGGTCACGTAGTGCAGAGTAACTGTTTTATCGGTTTACACAAAATAGTTTAATTTAAAAACTTTATTAGACTTTTTGTTTTGGCTTCATTAAACCATTTTTTTCATAAGAACAAATGATATTTAATTTATTTTATAAAGACGCATGTCTGGCTTATTAGTAAATTTAGTTAGTAATTAATTTTCTCAACAAGCCGTTGTCATTTGCCTAACCTGTGATCGTTCACGATTCATGGTTTTTGATCACATAAAATTCATAATCTATCAAATTTTGCGATCAAAGATTGTTCAATGTAAATTAATTGAAAGACAGAGATTCAATTTATCAGTTAACGTTAATAAATTAATCAAGAAATCAATTCGACCTTATTTTAGAATTCCTTTCGAAATTTAATTGAATAATTTAAATGAGATTTGCAAAAGAATTATTTAGTCGAAAGATAGAATTTTTTTATATTTTCATTTTCGAATTTGTATGATCAAGAGGTTTTATTTGATACCAACATTACTGTAAACAAAACATATCTATTTTTGTATTCTAAATGCATATAATTTAACTAGATAAGTATCTCGAGCTGTTTCTGCTTTCTTTAAAGTAATTATTACTTGGTAAGTTTAGTTTTCAAATCTTTAATTGTTCCTTCTAATTCTTTTTAATTTTTTTCGATTCCCATTAATCAAATTTTAAAAATTTTCAATTATACTATAGCCGCTTTTCCTATATATACCCTTGAAGAAAACTATTTTTCACATAATAAAAATTTCTATTTAACGATTTTAACTAATGGCTCTGTTAGATATTTGATTTTTGTTCTTTACATCTGATTTTTGACGAACGTACTGTATTCAAATATCTCAAGCTTATACTGATACTACATAAAAAAAAATTTTATTTCTATTATAGGAATTATAACCATTTTTAAGATCTTATCTTTAATATAACAATAAAAATTATAACTCATATGACAAGACCACAGAACAGACAATAATACATTAAATAAAAATAACTTACGTGATCTACTGCAGCCAGAGTATTGCGATGAAAGTAACTCCAAGAGGTACTAATAAGTGAGAAGGGAACCACGCAGTTTATTGTTTCGCAAGGGAAGGTACAAAACCATTTCCTCTTCATGAAAAAGCAGCCCCCTTACCAAAGAAACCACACCCATTCTGAAGTATAATCCTCTTGAAGCCAACATATTTGTGGCTGCAATTAAGAATAGTACTCCACAATAGACTCCAGCCGCTCGCTCCTCCGTGAACCTTTCTTGATGAGAATATGACAAAAAAAAAAATATATATAATAATAATAAAATCGTATTACAAAAAGCAAATAAATATATCCTCTTTGCCCACTCCTTTGCTGTCTGCGTTCAAGAGTCTCCTTCTAGTTTGTTTTCGTCGGTCTCGGTTCGCGTTAGCTCGCTGCCTATGCTGGTTACGCGTGTAATAAAAATAAAGAATATTAAAAGTTAATAAGTTTTCATTAATTTTTGTCGCGTGAGAAAAAGTAAAATCTTTTGAAACGCGTAATATATATAGTAAAATGGGCAAATACATGTGATCTTATCAAAATCAAATCAACGAATGATATACATTTCAGACTAAACTACCCAGTATCGCCAAACACTTTTTACCCACGTGATTTTTTAGCCGGCACTATTGTATTTGACTGAAATTATCCGGGTGACAAAGAAGGTGACAAGTAATGCATAAAAAAGCGGAGGGCGACAAATTATATAGGTCACGTGTTGATAATGTTGAGAAGATCATAAGAATTGTGAATTGTCTTTGAAAATAAATCTATTGACCATCCATACTAAAATAAATATTAATTTGTCACTATACACGACTTACTCACTCACACGACACGGTCAAAATGAACAAAATTATTTGAGCAAGGTAAATATTGAAGAATTATTTACTCTTCTAATGAAGTAAATTTGAATTTTAATGATTTTTTAGATGAAGATAGATATTGCGAATTTTTAGCAAATGAGAAATAAACGAACAAACGATACTTGTACTGGTGATTCAACGTTTGTCAACGACCTCGATTTTTCTTTTTGACCGATGTCCTCATTTGGTTCCAACAATCACCATAAGATTGCTATTTGCAGAATATTCGAACAATCAAACTTTGGACGGAAACTTAAAATATTAAAGTCTGAAAATTTATAAGTCTAGAAAGAGTAACTCATTTGTACTATATTATGAATGATATGTTACATGATCCAGACGACATATATTGACAACAGCCAAATACGAATGTAAAGATAATTTATGGGATGAATCAAGAATCAAATTAGTGACCATTATTATCAAACAGGTGCCATCACAAAAAAAAATTAATGTATATATAACTGTTATTACATAATTCAGTCACTGATTTCGCTATAGATTAAAGTACTGATATTAAGTTAGTTTTTCTTACATGAAATTTCTTATAATCACTTTTTGGTAATTCATTGTTGCCATACGATCGACTATTATATGATTGAAGGAAATTATGTCATGACACACATTGGCCAAGTTTCAGTTCCGACATCGGATAAATAAAAATATTTTTGGGCAAACGAGAAGCTTTTAAAAAATCTTTTCCGACAGCAAGGGTAATGTTTAAACATGATATTTTAGCACACTTGAATTCACATGATTTTCAGATTTTGTTCATTTTCTAGTATTTTTACATGAATTTATTTATTTTTTTTCTATTTCTATAAAATGTAGGTTTGCCCACATCATTATAATTTCAGTATGATATGATATATGCGGGTGGTGGTGTGTGTAGGATTATATGCATCGGAACAATAAAAAATTATATCAAAATTTTTGGTAACTGCGTGAATGTACTCTTTTTACTTTCGCAAGATTATGAATAGATAATGAACCTGAGGCAATATATTTATATTCGTGAAGCATACATTATAGACCTTGTATAAATAAAGCGAATTGCACGCGCACAATTCATATTCTCAAAGTTTAAATTTTTTATGCATAAATTTTTTTCACATTTACGTTGTTCTAAACGATTTTTGAAAATTAATTCATTGAGATTTAATTTAGTGCATCCTTATCTGTTATTTTAATAATATTTTTTACATCAAATTTTTCGGGTTTATGATAACAATTTCTTTTATATACTTTCAATTTGGAGGTTCTCAAGACAAAGATTTAAAAAAATATTACTCATTTTTCAATGCTTTGTAGGTCAACAACGTACTCTCCTAATAAATATTTTAATTTTTTCATCTCCTCCATGATATCTTCTGGTAACTTCGATAATTTAACATCTATATTTTCTTTAATTTCTCGTTTAATCCCACAGCAACGTGATTGTACAAATCCCCATGGATGGATTAACGATGCGCCTAACAAAAATTAGTAATTGATGAGACTTTTTTTTAAAACCATTTATTCAATAAATTTACCAAATAAAAATACATAGAATGCCCATACCAACCCCCAAGCACCTACGTTATAAAAACATCGTGTTACATTAGCTTAAGATTCAGCGTTCACATTAAATTACTTTACTTACCGCCGATAACTCCAAAAATGCTCACGTACTAGATCAATTTACGCTATATAATTAGTTTGAAATTATAATAAATAAAATCAATAATATAAGAAAATCAATCTACCGTTCTAGATCTTCGAAATATATTAGAAAGCAAATATAAATTCGGTTTGGCAAGAGAAAATTTTCGCAAAATATACGAAAATTAATTAAAAATAAACGTACATACCTTTGTTCTGTTTCAATAATGTTAACAAATAAATGTGGTCTGACTAGGATAATGCTAAAAAAATCTTCGTCTTGAACTTCGACATCAAGAGGGAATTCCTCTACACAATTTTTATTTTAAAAAATAAGAAACTTGCTTTTTTTTTCAAAAAAGAAGAAAATTAATGCTTACAGTTCTTTGATGCTTTAACATAAGTATTTTCTTTGTAATTTAAAAACATTCCTAAATTACTTCTCCAGTTTGGAATAATATTTTTTCGTTAATTGTACGTAATTTTTCTATTATTTTTTTAAAAAATGAAGGAAGTAAATTTTTTGGATCGAAAAATAAAATAAATAAAAAATAAAAAAATATATATATAAACATACCATTCGATTTGGCATTACAAACAAATTAAATAATATACTTCGTTCATTATTTCTTGATTGAGAGAAATAAAACATTGTTAAATTTAATGTACCGTTCATAACTTTAATGGATTATTTTCTAAATAATTTTTTTTTTTAAAAAAATAAAATCAATTACTAAAAATCTTACATGCAAATATTATAGAATTACTCGCCTACCTGATTCAAAATGTATGCATATGGTGGCGAGGAGTCAATTTTAGAAGCATTAAAATTTGGATCATCAACCAATACCGTTAATGCCAGATTATTATAACCGTATTCCATTTTGTTTAGGAAATGTAAATAAAGTTGAATTATCATTTAAAGAAAAATATCCTCGATATGCCCCTTAAATATATCGTGGAGGAGTTACGTATTGCATACAACTTTCTTTTACGATCCCGTCAGGTAAGTCTAAAAATCCAGTAAATAAATCAGAATTATTCGGAAAATTTATCATTGATTAAAAAAAAATTGAAGCAGAATACCAAAATACATCCATGTGAAGGTATAATAAATTTGAAAAGGATTATAAAATGAAATCATGACATCTATTTTTTCATATTTGTCACGGTTAATTTATGGTAGCTGGCGCTTTTAAAAAATATTTTTCTTTTTTATTGTTATTTACCGGGAATTGAAAGCGAATCCACGGGAATTTCCGAAGTTATAATCGTAGGAAGTTCATTATTCACATCTATTATTTACCTCGCGATATACAAGATCAAAAATGACGAAATTATAAGTATCGTCAATAGTCGCATATTATGAACCAATTAGGTTCTTTTTCGCGCTGACTTCCAAGCAAATCCCCCCAGAATCATTTTATTAAATTTTTTTTTTTTTAAAAAAAAAAGTAAAAAAGGAGACACATATATGTGATATGGTTACTGATTTAGGAAGTAAATAATATTTAACGCTAATCTTAATAAATAATTGCCTACGGCCTTAATTTAAGCCCTGTTCTGTGCCTATGCCTGTTCCGTTAATCAAAATATTTACTAAATTTTTGATTGGCTATTTGAGCTGCTATGGAACTCCGCTAACCAAATGTAGACAATCCGAACTTTTTTTAACCAACCATAGCCCTGCCCTGTTCAATTCTAGAAAGTCGAAACTTTTCAGAAATTATTTCGAGGGTTTCGGACAGTTTCGATAACAACTTTGCGAATTTGACGGTTTAACGGGTTTATTGTATCACATTATAGAATATAAAAACGATTTTTTTTTTTTTTTTTGCTTTTTATTTTAAATTAGAAGATAATACATTATTTATCGAGCAGGTTTTAAATTTGGAAGCAATGGTACTTGTTGAAGAATTAGAAAAAATTATCTTATGAAGATGATGATGATAGAGGTTGGAACCGGGTTTATTTTTATATCCGGATTTATTTAATTTTAAAAATCCGGATTTAAATCGAATATTGAATCTCTATTTCAAAAACTGTGCAAATCAAAATAAATTTTTTAAAACTTAATAATAAATTACACAACATGATAATATTACGATCTCGGCGCTTTTGATATATCTTATATAAAATCCTATAAAAGATAAACTTTCATCAGAGATTTCCCAATTTACATATTAATGCTATCTTAGTCAATCTTTTAATAGATGATGATTTTTCAAATGAAAGGTTAAATGGATGAAATTCTGTCATGAGTTTAAATGAAATATGGGAGATGTAACTGGACTTGATGATCAATTTATATAAATTTTTTATTTTTATTTTTATTTTTTTTATCCTTTATAAATATATAAATATATGATATTATAAAAGAAAGTGATCTATGCTATGTACGATTTGCTCATCTCATTAAACAAAAAATAATAAATTTTTATGTATTTTAATATCAGAAGATTTCGATGGGTTTTGCCATCCGTCGAAACTTTCGCAATTTTGCCTTTAATAATAATATTTGGCAAGACGGGTTTCGATTTCAATGCCTGTCGAAACCTCCAGGTTTTACCCGGAAACCTTAGACAAATTGCTTCAAGTGTCTGAAATTGAAATTCCAAGTTCAGTTAACTGAAATTGGAATTCCAATTTCATAAATAGTTAACTTTAACATTTTATACTTCAGACTTTTAGTTTTACGAATTATTATTTAATTTCACGATTTTATTTATTAAATTTTGTAGCTTTAAATTCCAATATTTTTTTTTTTTCTTTTTTTGGTTATTTTTCTTATCTTTTATTAAATTGTGTTATATAAAGTTTATTTTATTTTTAAACTTTATAATTTTTATTTGTGAGCATTAATCCTAATTTTTTTTTACATCTTTTTTCATCAGGATTTTTAAGCGAATGGTATTAGCTTTAAGACCACATCTTTTAATTGATATCAGATCGATTCCATTAAAAAATTCTCGTTCTACTGGAATACTTATTGCTTTATAAAAAATGTATTAGTTAATGTTTAATAATTGATAAATTTTATTTACCTGTAATTATTCACTCCGTAATGCTTTTCATTTTCTAGAAGAAGTTGTACCAATGTTAATATCGATAGGTTCACTCATTAATTTTGGTCAATTCAATCAGTTTAGAACACTACATAGATAATTTGCTATATTATTAATTTTTTTTTGCATTATCATAATATAATTCACAATAGAAGGCTCTGAAATGATTAGAAAATATAATGTCATAGACATACGAAAGTATTCATTTTAGCGCTAGTGATCTTCAGTCGTCAAACAACATTTAAAACCTGTTAATTTGGTGAAGGTATACTTTTGAAGTTATGATCAAATAAATTTGAGATTTAAACTTTCCTATGGCATTGTGTTAAATTTAACCATCATATTTTAAATAAAATATATTTTTATTGATTTCGCTAATCTTTGTCTATCCATTTTATTTCGTTAAAAAATATCTTTTGCATAAAAATTATTATTTGCGTCACATTTTTTTGTATTACATATTCAATTTATCAATCTTTTTGTCAAACTTTTTGTATATTTGTAAATACTGTAATCGATCTGATCTTTTTTTTTAAAAAAAAATACAAATATCAAAAAAAGCAAATATAATATGCCCCTTAATTATCAACAATTTTGTACATTTCAGATTACAGAAAAAAATTTTAGTATTTTTTGCAAAAAATATTCTCTTACTTTTTTTTATTCAGGTGAAATATAGAAATTTTGATCAAATGAACATATAAAGATACCTTAAGTAAAGTTTTTCAGCAAGTTCAAATTATCGGAATCTCAATATTTGTCAAGGTAGGTTTGATATTCGTGAAGTTCGTAACGTTAATGATACACAAATTCACTTTTTTAATGTTTTGCAATATTTTGGCAATTTAGTTCAAGAAAATCGCCTTTCATCTTCTAAGTAAAGTTGTTAAAAAGGTCCGAAAATACTTAAATCTTAATTTTTGTCAAGATAAGTTTAATATTCGTGAAATTCATAATATTAATGATACACAAATTCACTTTTTAACATTTTGCATTATTTTGGCACTTTAGTTCAAGTAAATCTTCTTTTACAGTCTAAGTAAAGTTGTTCGGAAGGTCTGAAAATACTCAATCTCAATTTTCATCAAGGTAGGTTTGATATTCGTAGAGTTCATAATGCCTAATGATACATGAATTTACTTTTTATACTATTTAATAACTTTTAATCATTTTATTTAAAATTTAAATAGAATAAAAAGTATATAAAATGCTATTAGTATTATTGTTAAATGTTAACCAACTTAAATAATACTTATTAAAAAAAACTAAATAAAAAATTAAATTAAAAAATAAATTTAAAATTAAAATATAAAAAATAAATAATATAATTAATAAAAAAAACATTGAGTATTAACTAAAATTAAAAATCAATTTAAATAAAAAAAAAATTTAAATTTAAAATAATATTTTTTAATTAATATTCACAATTTTTTTTATATATATATTTTTTTAATTTGCTATTTAAAAAATCTATTAATAAAGTTGCATGTATTAAAAAGATTAGAAAAAAAATTAAATTTAAAAATCAAAAAAATCAATATTGAAATAAAATACAAATTAAAATAAAAATTAATAAAAATAATTAAATAAAAAATTAACTGCAAAGAAAATTAAATTAGAAAAATTAATTTAATTAATAAAAATAAAACTTCTTTTTCATTTTTTATTAATATAATTAAATGTTTTAAAAATTTGGTTTTATATTTTTATTTATCATAAATAAAATTTTAAAGTTAAATTGAATTAATTACAAGATCAATTATTTAATGCTAAACAGGAGACAAAGTTCCCTGCAAATTGCAAACTCTAGTTTTATATAATAAACACTAGGTAGAAATAATACAAATTATCTATATTATGAAGTTTTAATTTAGTTCTAAAATTAAAACAAGAAATTTTTGAACTGGTGAGCAAATACACTATGAATTTGAAAAAACAAAAAATCAAAACATTAATTTGAAGATTGATGAATCTAAAAAAGAAGAATACTTAGACATAAAATATGAATTAATTTCATTAAATAAATATTCTTAAAATAAATAAAAATGTAAAACTAATTGTAATAGAATTTAAATAATATATATCGCATAAAGATTTTGAAGTTTTTTTATAAAAAAAATATTATAATAAATAATCGAAAAATGATTTAATTATCGCTATGCCAAAAAAAATGCCTTATAATATTTATCTTCATAATGTAATAATAATTATTTTTAAAAAAAATTTAAAAATAACCAAAAATTATTTATATTTATTTAGAATAAAAATTTTCTGTTATAGTTAGTTATTTTTTATTAATCACTAATAATTCTAGAGTGCTGTAACTCATATATATACTAAAAGATCTACATTTCTTGACAATATATATTACTATCCATTCTATAAGTTAATTTGAAATATAATTTTTTTTTAAAAAAAATCTTATTTATTTATTATAAATTATAGGAATATCTAAAAGTAATTAAAAAGGTAAAAATATTAAAAATATTTTTACCAAACAATAAAAAAGAATAAAAGATATGAAGCTTTATATAAATAAAATATGTTAATTTGACATTTTATAATATACTAAAAATTACATTAGAGCTAGTATCAGATGCTAAATACTTCTTATTATAAGGTAATACAAATCATTAATTATACTTATTTTTATTTGTTAAAAATTAAATTTTATCAAATTAAAATATAAAATCAGTTTCAATTAATGAAGGTAAATACAACAATTTCTATAAATAATTAACCAATACTAAAAGAATTTGTTAATTTTATTTTATAATGTAGAATTAACCTTGAGTAATGAAGGTGAATATAATAATAG